ATGAAAAATATCATTGTCTTAAAATAATGCTTCCTCCCAAACTGGCTAGGAATTATAGATGCTGCCTCCAGACTGTGAAAGGCTTGGAAAAGAGAACAACATATTTGTGTTGAAAGTTAAACTCAGGGGAAGTGTCTGTTTTATATATGTAGCGGACATCAAGATGGTTTTCTTGATGATAAAAGAGACCAGGCCAATCCCTGAGTAGAAAAGACCCTACGTTCCAGAATGCACATGATTCCGAGGATGCCTGTTGTTGTTTTTATTCACGCTAGATACTGGAGCCCCAGACCACAGCAACCAACAGGGTGACATAAAAGAGAAAAAGGCTCATCACTAGTAGTAAAACTGAAGAAAAAAAAAAAAGAGAGAGAGAGATTGCTTTTATCAAACCCATGTATAAGTCCAGAGGAGAGAAAAGACATCTCTATTTGAAAGAGGACTCCCTACCAATACCAGGAAGGAAGAGGTAAGCAGAGCCCCGACCCCATAGACAACACTGACCAGAAGGGCATCAGTTACTAACGTGGCCAAGACCTGACTACTACAGAGACTATTCTGATCTAGAACCCAGACTGTTTTTAGTGTTAACTATAGTTAATTATGCTTGTGTGCAAATGGTAGAACTGATTTTATACTTAATCTCACTCTGTTAGGTAAATTATAGTGTATGAAGTAGGAAAAGATAGTACATGATTAACACAAGTCCTTCGTGGAGAAGCAAGTGCCCCACTTCTTCATTTGTGAGATTGTTAAAGAAATAAAGTAGAGGAATCCCTTCTAATCTGCAGTTTGGTTTATAACGGTTTCAGTTACCCATGGTTAGCTGCAGCCTGAAAATATTAAATATAAAATTCCAGAAATAAACAACTCAGAAGTTTTACATCTGAAACTTTTAAATATTTAAACAATGTTAAGTTTAAAAAATTCTAGAAATAAACATCTTCCAAATTCTGAGCAGCATGACAAAACCTCAGCCCTCTCCCAAGAAGAGAATCATACCTCAGTCCTGGGCATCCACACTGAATACAGGGACCTTGGAAGTCACGCAGTGGTCACCCTGGTTACCAGGCCCACTGCAGTGCCAGGGTGGTGCTAGTATTCAAGTGACCTCAATTCTACCAAAAAGTGGCCCCAAATTGATACTATGTTATATTCCATGTATGAATGCTTCTGCTAAGCTTCCACAGGGCCCAATTTATAAGTTATGTTTTGTCACAAGCAGTGATGTCTAGGCAAAGGCAAGTGTACATGAGGTTCAGAACTATTCACATTTTTCAAGCAACTCCCTTGGTATGTAACTCTCGAGCGAGGATGGAGGAAGATGGACTGTCACCACAGACCGTGATAGAGTAGGATGCTGTCCATTCTTCCGATGTGTAGCTACAGTCTAGAAAGTAAAAGAGATTCATTTCTCATATCCTTAGTCATACGCACTGTCAATATGATGCATCGTTAGGTTACCTAAATTAAGAGATCCACAGCTGTGTAACCCCTACTAGCCTGGCACTCAGACAGTCCAGGAACCTCAAGGTGATCTTTTCTTCCCAGCCTCTGGACTTCCCAACTGGGTGTGGCTCCCATCGATCACAACCTTGCTGCCAATCCCTGACTGCTCTTGGGTTCTTGCTGCTGCGTGTCTTTCCCATCAACATCTGTCTTTGCTGCCTGCCCCAGATTCTCCCAACAGATGCCTTCCGCATCTCCCTTTAGAGTGGTCCCATCCAGCTCCCTCTGCCTTAGCACTGTGCAGACCCATGTCTCCCTGGCTCCCACGGTATCTGCAATGCCCAGTGTCCTAGAGATCACCTGGGCCTCCTAATGACACACAGCCAAGTGATTAGATGAGTGAACAACGCCTGGATGAGAGTACATCTAGAGCCCTTGTTACCTGTTCTGATGATTCTAAGGTTTGGCTTTAAGTCTTTACTGGTCACATCCTAGGGCACCCTAAAGTCCCTATGGGGTCCCTGTGGAGTAAGTTTTCAGAATGGTTTGGTCTGGACTTGCAGGCTGCAAAAATAGTTTGGACAGCCATGCATAAGGAAACAACCCCAAACTGCTGGACCACACGGGAGGCCACAGCACCACTATATGGTTAAATATACCCACTACCCTGCCTTCTAGAGAATTCTATGCTGCTAAGCCCTTCATGAGGAGACTATCTGCATTTCTGCATTCCAGCTCACAATGCAGAGCTAAAGAATTGTTTCTTTCTCTCTGTTTGCTTCGCTATTGATTCTGCAGCTTAGGCGGAAGCTCAGTGCTATCCAAATACCAAATGTTCCGTATGGTGGCATCATTACCACTCTCACTGTGGCTATATACAGCCCTTCAACCTACATTCATGAGCTGCCTCATCCAACTCCAGGAGAACATTAGGAACTCTTTGCCTGGCCAACATTTACCAACACATTGGTTGTCCTCTCTCCTTCCTTGACCTCATTAATTTTGCTGAATTAATGCACACACATGCAAATACAAGTTTTATTTTCTTATTCATCCTCATAATCACTTCAAGGCAAATAATTTATGACCCATTAAAAAGGAATTTTTACACTAAAATGTCTTAATTAGGAATTCAGCTGTTCCTTTTTTACTAAGAAATACAGAGCTGTTCAAATTAGACTGGAAATTAGGGGCTGAATGAATGTAGTATCTACAGATACAAGCTAGTTGCAGGGAAACCAGGGAAAGGCAGTGGCTGAAGCCATCTGAGTGGCCCTGTGTTTGTCTCCTTAGTGCCAAATAATTCTTTGGCTCGTTGCCCTTCCACTTTTCAACCTTAAGATGTAGCCAAAGAGTGGTGAGACTCAAAATGCCATAGTTTCGCCTTTTGTTTTATGTAGGATAAGCATGCACTGCCAAAGCTCTGGGAGGCCCTCATCTACCTTCTCTTTCATTTATTTAGTGAAATGAAGCTTAGTGAGTCATGGGGGAAAGAGCTGAGCCAAGTAGGACACAATCACATATGGTGCCAGACGGTGAGAAACGCTGGCCGTGTCATCCACAAGAGGCCCAAAGCTGGCCTGGCCCAGGACAGCTGCTGCGCCGTCCAGGGTGTGTCAGGTGGGAATGTGCCATGGGGTTGAGCCCAGGGTTCCCCTCAGAGGCCCTGGGAGAATGGGTCTCTCACTGGAAGTCTTCAATCCAGCAGTCTCTCCAAGACCAGGAGGACTCTGAATGCAAACCAAAGTCATGCAGAAGCTATATTCAACTTTTTTCCAAGGACAAAAAAAAAAAAAAAAAAAAAAAAAAGAAAAAAGCGTAGGAAGGACAAAGAAGGGGAGAACAATCATACAAGGCTGAGATGCTGCCACTGTCAACATCATGCTTGATATTTGCTTATTACTATCATGCTTGTATTCCCATAGCATTAACCAGTCTCTTGATATGAGATACTTGGTACTTTTAAATACATCATATTTATTCACTTGAAATGACACTTCATGAGATGGATACTATTTTAGCCTAAATTTTACAAATGCAGACTCGCCCAATGTCATACCTCCAGAGACTAGCAGAGCTGTAGTCCTCCCTAGTGGGGTCTCCCACCTCTGTGCTGCAGGGCTGCTATGGTTATGTCTAACCATGTTATCAGCCCTGGGTGCGTGCACACACACATGCACGCATGCACACACACACACACACACACACACACACACACACACTGAGCTGGTGAGCAGTATAGCTCTAGGTAAACATTTACAAAGGCTTTTTAAAGCACGTCTATTTAAGAAAAGAAAAGCTTTGTTTTCTACTGGAAAATTATTGCTATCCAGTGATTTCACAATTGTCGAAAAACACTTGGCAAAAAAAGGAAGAACTTGAAATTCCCTAGGGGTCTTCCACTCCTTTTTGATTTAGTATTACTTCTCAAATGTCAAAATCTGCTAAGCTTCCAGCCTGCTACTGTCTACAACAGAAAGGCTCTTAAATCAGCATGATTTACAAATAGATGCTCTCCTGCATATGCAACACACACACACACACACACACACACACACACACACACAGTCACCATCTCTCATGATCACTTGGAAAAGCCTCTTGTTTTCTTCCCAAATTCTCAGCATCAGAAAATTGTGTGGACACAGATACTGTCATAGGCTTCCTCTGGAAATAGAAACTCATGATTTTATTGGAAAGTACTTCAGCAACAAGTATCACAAGTCTTAAAACCATAAAGCCTTCAATCCAGTGGTTCACAGATAGTTATTTGTCCTAAAGAAGCCATGTATAATGAGAACTAATATAGAGCTACAAGAACAGCTTTGGGAGCATAACATCAAAAAGACCTTATATACAGCTCCATGTCCAAGTAGAGGCAATTAACTCAATGAAGTTTAGCAAATCTGCTCAGTGCTATACTATATAATTATCCAAAATTATATTGTAGATGAAAAGATATTGACTATTATGTACCAAAGGCGGATGACAATATGTATTGTATTATTCTCTGCTACCATCTAACGGCCCATCTTTCTGGCCAAACTTCTGAATATTACCTTTGGAATCATCCCTCACGTACCTTCTTTTGTAGCACTCATACTTGGAACCGAGCCCAGGTGCAGGCATGCTAGGCAAACACAGAGATGCATTCCAGACTAGAGTCATCCCCTCCTTACTGATGAAGGGCTGGGTCATCTATCCTAATCAGTCATCTCAAAATTGTAGAAATGATACTTCCCTCTGAAAAAGCAATAACCCTAGTTTTCTAAAAAGAGACAGAAAGAATATATAGAGGAGGGGCTGGGGAGATGGCTCCGTAGAATAAGTGCTTCCCTGACAAGTGCAAGGGTCTGAGTTCAATCCCTGGTTCAGCAAAAAAAAAAAAAAAAAAAAAAGAATATATAGAGGAAGAGCATGTGGCCGCGTAGATATATTTCATTATGTATAAGTGTGCGCATGATGAAATACTACAGATACATGACTACCGCTGTCTGGGGCACTCTACAGCTACACAGTAATTCTTGGTGAGAGGTCTGGGAGATGCTTACCTGTACCATGTGCTTTCATCCCAGTGGAAAGCCGTCAGCAGCCTGCTCCTGTGTGGTAGGTCTTTTCATACAGGTTTTGCTTCAGTAGAAACAGAGGCAGTAGAGAAGCTCAGCGTTAGATGCCCAGGCCTGGAATCATAAAGACAATATTCCCACTGAGTTAGGCAGCAACTCTGTCCTCAGGTAACATCAGCTCAAGTCATGGAACAGAGAAACATACTGTTGCATGACCACTCTCTCTTTTATACACACACACACACACACGCACGCACACACACACACACACACACACGAACCCTACCCCTAGGATAAGCGTAATCCTGTTTCCAAACACAGCCCCTGACCTTTGAGATCTCACCCACACCCCATCTCCCGCTTCCAACATTTCAGGGAAATAAAAACTAGCCAGTTCTTCTCCAGAAATGTCAGGAACATGCTGAATTTCATGCTCTACAAGATTCCATCCAGCCACAAAGCTATGCCAGTTCAGCACCTGTGTTTACGATTCTGCCTTTCATTTTGAAACCATTAAATATTCCTGTGTTGATGACTCCAGTAGTGCCGCTAGCGGTGATGTCTATAGTCATCGACAGGGACTGAACACTGACTACGCTCCTAGCTCTGTGTCGAGTGCCTCCCCCCATGAGCATGCTGCTCACCACGATCAGCTGTGTATCAGACAAGAATCTGAGACTGCAGTCAGCAGGAGCAGCTGTTACAATCAGTATTTAGGTCATCATGGTTCTCAGAATTCATGCTATTACTCCAGTGCTACAACATTTTTGCAGCAAGACTTTTTGGAGATGGACAAAGGGGTCAGAGGAAAGGGGAGAGAAGAGGTCAAAAGGGGAGAAAGGAAACCAAAATAATCAAGGTATGTTGCACTGCATGTCTGTACAAAGTCCCCCAAACAAATGTAATTATTATATATCACAAAAACATACCCAGGTTTGTATGGGTATCAATTCAGAGTTACTCCACTTTTCCCCTAAGTTGATATGCAACTTACATCCTAAGTCTTCTGGGATGGGACTGTCCTTTGATTTTAATTCACAAGCTGAATTGAACTCAATATGTTCATATTCCAAGTGACAGTGTATTGATAGTTATCTTAGTAAATTAAAATTTTCAGGCAATCCCAAATTTATTTATTTATTTTATTTTTATTTATTTATTTTTGTAGTACCAGGGACTGAACTCAGGACCCTGAGCTTACCAGGCAAGCGCTTATTCTACGGAAGTATCTCCCCGGGCCCTAGCTATCTCCCTGGGTCCAACCCCAAATTTAGATGCCAAAACACCAACTAAAAGTCTAACATCCACATTTCAAGTGGCTACTTTTCTTTTTCTTTTTTCCCCCATAATTTTATTGAGAAACAAATAGCAATGAGACAGTTTCAAATCGAATTGGTAGGACAGTTTCAGTAATTAACACATTGCATACATTCTTCCTAGTGGTTATTTGCTGTACAAGATGCAGCATGATACCCTATTTACAAACACTATTACAACAAATCCCTCTATTCATTAAGAGAATGTAACTATATATCTATCCTAACCATTTTGAATACAAAGATACAAAATGGACATTCATCTGTATCCTCTTTTTTGTTTAGTTCCATCATTTGAATATCATAGATGTGTTAACTCAGCAAAATATTCTAAAAGAGTCCAGTAGTCCACAATAGTATTGGGTCTTTTGCTTGACTGGCAATGTCAGAAATTGTTGACCTGAGTCCCCTACAGCTCAACATAACAGCATGGCTTTACTTCTTATACTTCATTTTTATACTTTTCTGCTGGATGGTTAAGAACCAAGATAAAGCAAGATCTATGCAACGAGAGTTGTAGCTTTTGGATCTGATAAGGTCAATGAAATCCCCTCAGGATTTATCCTGAGATCCTGTACCTCAGATTGTAGATTCTTTGTCAGCGTCAGCCATGTGGATGAGTCACGGCCATTGCTTGGCCAACGTGCTCTCTGTGAAAGCCTGAGAGAATGTTCAAGTGGCTAATCTTCATGAGAAAGAAGACTGATAATAAAATCAAAAGACATGTGCACCTCCCTAAACAAAGATATGATAAGTGACTAAAATAACCATAATAGGATAATAAAAGATATGAAAAGATCAGAAAGGAATTTCTGTATCAAATAGTTTTGTGACTTTAAAACTATTTTAACACGTTGCCTATTTACAAATTCTGCACATTGTACCTCTCCGAATCACTAGACAAAACAGCTAGGTGCACCCCAAAACATCCAGAAAATGACTTGTGGGTCCCAAGGACTCGGATGTTGGAGAGTAGGGACAGTGAGAAGGAATTGCATCACTGAGGTCACTACTCTTTCAAGGAATGAAGGTCGACCATTTTCCCGGTACCCTGAGTTGGTTCTCATGAGAGGGTTTCTTACATTTTTTTTTAAAGCAAGAGTTGGGCCAGGGAGTTAGCTCAGTGGCTTAAGCACCTGCCTGGCAATCACAAGGTCCTGAGTTTGATCCCTGGTACCAAAAAAAAAAAAAAAAAAAAAAAGCAAGACTTGCCCCCTGCCTCTACCTGGCTTCCAATGGTGCCCTGTGATTTCTCTCTCCTGTGGTACCATGCAGTCTGATGTGACACCACCAGAGAGGCCCTCACCAGGGCCAGTGCTGTGCAGCTGGTTTGCACCATCAGCCCCCAAAACTGGGACCTCTATAAGCTTCTTTTCCTTATAAAGCACCCAGCCTTTCCACACAATCATTCTTTTGATTAACCTGCCTTTCCCTTCCATAGCAGCTAGAAAAGCCCTACCCACTCTTCAAGAGCAACTTTAGCTCGTCTTGGGCAATGGCTGCCCTTCATCCCCTGCAGAGCTATCTGTCAATCTGAGTAGCCCTTCTGCAGTCCCCAGCTCACCAATGGCATCAAAATCATCCTCTCCCTAGTTATGCTCCATATTTACCATCAAGTCACTGATTTTGCCACTGGTGTGTCCCACATCACCCCTAGCCTGGACCTGAACAGCTTATTGGGCACTACACCAGCCTCCCCCCTGGTCTCCTACCCTCCACCCCTGCATCCCTGTACTTCTGCACCCCACCCGCCTTTCACCCATCCTCAGCTGCTGCTGAAAGCCCAGCACAGCCTTCTCACTGAGCCTGGAATCTGATGTGCCCCTGCAGGCCTTTATGGTCCAGTCTTGGCTTCTCTCCCAGCCTGCATCCTTGCACATGTCAATTCCTTCTGCTCCCCTAGACCTCAGGCCCATGACATCCTCCTTGCTGTAGCTTTGTCCCAAATCACCTGCCTCTTGTTCAAATGTCTTGTGTTCTTTTCTCCTTCATCCCTCAGCTCAGCCTCTTCTCAGAGAGCCTTTCTTGATCTCTCTTCCAGGTCTCTACCTCCTTGTCCAGGCTTGATAGCATCACTCTCTACTGCTGCCCCAGTCACTTTTGTAAATCCACTTTTTTTTTTGCGGTACTGGTGATTGAACTCAGAACCCTGCGCTTGCCAGGCAAGTGCTTATTCTATTGAGCTATCTCCCCAGCCTCTCACATTTTTGGTTTAGTTCATTAATTAATGCTGGTGAGTATGTGAGCTCACCCCATGGGTGGCTCCAGGAAGGCAGACCTGGTGACTCCTGGCTGCCCGACTGCACAGTCAGTAGTCCGTGCATCACTTTGTTTTTTATAAGTGCCCAGTAGAAGACATGAATAAAAGGAGGAAGGGAAGAGGAAGGAAAAATGTCCCCTATTCATGGTTATTTAATCTGTGTTTGTTGGATTACTGCAGATGGGTTTTCAACACACAATATACAACATCTAATGTACTGTGATAATAATAAATGCTCAGCTCTGGAATTCTGCACATATGAAAACACACACACACACACTGCACAAAAATATGTATATACAATTCAGGAAAAGAAAGATAGGATGATTTTCAACAGATGGTGTTAGCCTCACATGAGGGACCCTAAAGGATGTCGTACATGGCAGAAAATCTACTACATTGCCAAGCCTTCGAGATGAAACTGAAAATGCATATGCAGCAATCTCAGTGACCAAGATCACCTGGGTAGCTGTTTGCCTTACTAAAAAAAATGTCTGGAAGCTAAAGGTCACCAGTATGACCTCCTCTTGCATTTGCAGAGGTCAAAACATACCCTGTACTAATTTTATGATGTCTCAATAAATTTAGCATTAAAATATTTATGCAAGTTTTTCTTTTCCTGAAATGTGTATATATGTATCTACATTTTTGGCAGTCTATCCATCCATCCATCTGTCCATCCATTCATCCACCCTTCTCTCCATCCATCTATCTGTCCATCTATCCATCCACCCATCTATCCTTCCATCCACCCACCCACCCACCCACCCATCCATCCATCCATTCATCCATCCATCCACACATCTATCCATCCCTCTATCTGTACATCCATCTACCCATCCATCCACTCATTCATCCATTTATCTATCTGTCCATCCATCCATCCATCCATCCATCCA